AGTTTAAGAAAATAAATGATTCACCAGAAGCTTTAAAACAATTTGAACATATGAAGAACTATTGCACGTGTTTTAAAAGTTGCCTTTGTTGCTTCGTCCAACTTGATGGTAATCATGAAATGATGCTTCACACCGATCTTGACACAATTCTGCATTTATTGCAATCGCAATCTTTAAATTCTGGTAATGTGATTTCGCCTAGGAATTTTAATGCCATGATTGAAGCATTTAGCACAATTTTGTGCCGGCGACCTGAAGATGGTGCTCCTATCTGAATCACTCATTTTCTCTTCTTTTCTTTTTATCAAGTGAAATTATAGTTGACCGTCTTCCAATTAAGATCTTGCTGTGAGTAGCTCCAAGTACATGTGTGGTAGATCTAGACATGTTACCAAATCTTACATATTTCCGATTCCTCATAATTACTCATGAAGTCTTTTACGTTTAGTATTTAATTACTAACACTAAGACAGCCAGATTATCAAACCATTGTTGAACAGAATTGAAGGAGGCAAATATTTGACATAATTGGTTATTTGAGAATTTGAAATTTACCAAAACTTTCTGATAAAACTTCTTTGAACCATGCAGTTTTGTTTCACTTCGAATTCATTGCTTTTCATGATATATTTTTACCATGTAACGCTTCATTGGCATTATGCCAACTCCTTTATCTCTCAAAATTCAAGTAATAAATTGACTGGATGCTCTTGTAAGTTGTAACGTAATTGCTTTTAATGTTGTGTGAAATTGAATGTCGATTTTGAATAAAAAAACTGCTTGAAAATTTATCAAAACACAAATGAAATCATTATATTTTACAGTATTTGTTCATTAAACAACACATTGTAAAAGAACTGCAAACTTACACGCTAGAAAATACAGTGACTAATTTGAAAAAAATTGAATCCTGTTCATTGATGGTTCCGATTATATACGTATGAAAAGTATTCAGTAATTAACGTAAATGCTTCTAATGACACTTCGTTAAAACTGTAAAAACAGTTATTCCAAGACACACTATTTCTTTATCATTAAGAGAAAGAGACACGTCAAACACAATAGAACAAATGGTAAAATTCAAAGTAGGTAGTAACTAGAATCAACAACAATTATAAAATATTAACAGCATTTGAAGTGCAAATGCAAACAATTATTGCTCAATTTAAACATTTTAAACTGTATCATAAATGTAAGCACAACTAAGAGTAAAAATCAACCTACCGTAAAATTCTACATGGCGCCTAGGAGTCTGACTCATTGATTCATTCCTGGTTTGCTGTCATGCGCTGTTAATAGCAGTTTATGCTCTAGCAGTTTCGAATAAAAATTATTTATAAAGCGATATTTACAATAGTGGCAGGAATTTTGCAGCGAATTAGAACAAGAGCTTAATCTCATTCAAACATCAGCACAGTCTAAATCAAACACAATTTACATAACAATAAATGGAACAGGACTTGGCGTGCAGTTCTCGATTTACCTAATCAACTAAGATCAGATTCTAATTGACACATTTTCATTTGTTTTAGTCAGCTTGTAACTTATTGCCAAAGATTTTGTTAGTTACTAAAATTATAAAGAAAACATCTTGATTCTGATATTCTTCTTAAGAACGCCGGCACGATTTAGTATTAGGGGTGGCTTAAACTCTCCCAAAATTTTACTTAGACATATCACGAACTGTTTTATTTAACTGATAAATTCAAGTATTATAAAAACATTCGTATGAAATATTGTTGATTGCTCAACATCTATTCTTCTATCATGTCCATGTCATAAAATGTTTCAATGTCTTATGTTTCGTTTCGTTCTTGGCCGTTTGCTGAAGCTTGGACGCGTTATTGTAGAGGTTCCCAGGATATAGGTAAAATGGCTAAAATCAGGAGGGGTAAGGAACGGATTTACTGGCTGCACTGGCTGTGGTGAAAACGGAGGGGTAAAAATATGGATTGCAGTGGCTATCATTGGATGGATTATTCCATATCCCTGAATTTTGCAGCGTATCAGAACAAAGAGCTTAATCTCATTCAAACATCAGCACAGTCTAAAACAAACACAATTTACATAACAATAAATGGAACTGGACTTGGCGTGCAGTTCTCCGTTTACCTAATCAACTAAGATCAGATTTCTAAGTATCACATTTTCATTTGTTTTGGCAGCTTGTAACTTTGCAAGATTTTGTTAGATTCTTTATAAAAGATAAATCACAAATTACAACTGGTTTTGTGTCCGTGCTTGTTTGTGTCACGTGATTGTTTTACGCATCCCTTTTTGTCACACACGCAGGCATATGCTAACAACTATACACCTAGCGACAAAATTTCCCAAAAATAACACCATCAGTTATATACGTTGATACAGATAATATTGACATGACAATAATGTTTAACTGTAGTTTTTTTCTCGCCATCTTCTAAATAACCTTTTTGGTAGTGTCTTAATCAACTTATTGCCGTATATTTTTGTGCCAATTGCGATTAAATGATGTTAATCTTTGAACGCGGGAGATCGTAAATAAGGAATATTTTATCGTATTCATTAGCCAGGCCAGACTTGCACCATGCATTTAAATTTTTTGTTATATTTGACGTTTTGTCAAATCTGCACCTATATTATACGTTATCATAAAAAAAATACAGGCCAAACATTTTCCTCACCCAGTCACTGTTTTAACCGAGCACTTTAAAAATGGCAAAAACAAAAACTCAAAATGGAAAATTAGTTAAAAGAAAGGTTAAAAACCAATCCTTTCAAACAATTTAAAAAATCAAATCTAGATTATCGACTTTGAAACAGTATATGAATTCAGGAAGCAGATGTTAGTAACAAATATAGTCAGTTTCATGTTTTTTAATGATGGCGGCTTGCTTCACACCTTATCATAGAATTTTGCCGAGTCAGATATGTAATTAATTCTAGGTTATTGTCTCCAATGATCTTATCCGGTTTAAAATCTACGTTACCCAAAAAGGTTACTCTATAGAAATTAACTTATTGTTCATAAACGGCTTATAACAAAGAACATTTTCTGGTCTAATAATCGTGCTTGTGACAAGTAGTTTATGAACAATGAGTGCCTATGTAAATTTGCTGGGGCAGTATTTTCATTATCAGTCAAACAATGCTTTTTTTTACAAATTCATTCAACATATCCATTTGTTGATTTTTATCTTTAGAAATCCTAACCAATAACTTTGTTATAAACGTATTTTAACTTTCAAAGCGGTTATAATTTTTGCTCATTCCTGAACATGGTATTGGTTATGTTAGAGTAGAGGATGAAACATATTGCAACATAAAAGTCATTTAAAAACTCAAATTAGAGCTCTTAGTATTTATAGAAACATACATGAAAACGTAGTTCTTCAATTGGTGATATTCTCTCATTTCAAAACCGATATATTAAACAGTGTTGTGCGGAGCACAGTGTTTAAGAATAAAATTGTGTAAAGTTGTGAAAAAATGATTATGAAATTTTCTTTGCCATCATTAAAATGGGTGAAACAGGAAAATTTTTATTGATTTACCAAATTGCGTCAGTTCTTTGTTTAAAGGCGTGGTCTTGTAGAAAATTATAAATGTAAACCTATATGATCATTCAACAAATAATTTCATTAACTTGTTGGGAATAAAGTTGTGTTATTTGAATGTCCTACTGACAAGAGAACAAATTCTCCTTAGTTGTTATAATTTCGTTAACCAATAGGCTTAGAAAAATTTTGATTGATATTTTGTTGTGCAAAGGGGTTGAGAGAGTCTGAGTGAGTGGTAATATGTATGAGATCGAACATTGCATGAGAATAAAATTTCGTTTTTCAAGGCAGGTTGTTGCATCTATTCGACATAGTGAAAAGGAATGTGCCTGGGCGACAGGCAAGATTCTAAAGCAATGGCACCTCCGACGGGATAAGTGAAATAAGTTCGATCAAGAACAAGAATTGAAAGCTTGTGTCGAAGCAGGGGCTGCAGGAGCTAGCACTCAAGCTTACCTCAAACATATTTCAATCACTTGCGGAAAACTGAAGAAATTCGTTGCGTCGAATAATCACGGGAAATCGAGCATCGTGATGCATTAAATGAATTAGTAAAGAAGCAGATACCATAATTGTACAGTTGAAGTGGTTGAAAATAGCAAGTAGCGAAAAAGTCGAAAACATTTCGGAGTGGGAGGAATCTGATAGAAGAAAATACCATCAGTCAAGCTGACAATGCAATGAAAAATTACCAAGTGGCTTATGGAAATTGGATGAAATTAAGAAAGCACATTTAAGAAAGGATCCAGTTAAATTTCGAGAAAGAAGTTGCATGAGACCAAGCTGCACTACAAGACTCAATTGGGGAAGTTAGTCAAGAGGACAAACTCGGAGAGACAGGAGAAATGAATTCTACAATTGGTAGAGTCTAGGCTAAACTACAAAAGCTAGTGATTTCAAAATTTAACGGAAGCTACAAAGATTGGCAGATTCTGGAACCAGTTCAGCGAAGACTATTGACAAATCAACTATTTCCAATGTAACAAAATTTTCATACTTGAGAGAGTTGCTTGAAAAACATGTCAAGTATTCCATAGAAGCACTACCTTTCACTAGTGAAGGGTATAACCGAGCAAAAAGTATACTTCAGTCTAAGTATGGAAAGGAGTCAGAAGTGATTAAAGCCTACACCAAAGAAATTCTTGACTTACCCAATATACCAGATGCCAATGTACAGAAGGTACATAAATTCTGCGAAAGACTCACCTGTTGCGTACAGTCTTTAGAAACTATGGGAAAGCTGGCGCAGATCAATGGAAGTGTTGCAATGACATTGGACAAATTGTCTGGTATAAGAAGCGACTTGGTTCGTACAGGTCCCAACTGGGATGAATGGGATTACATTAAGCTAATAGAAGCCTTAACATTGTGGACTAGGCGAAACCCTATATGTGAAGGAGAAAAAAAAAATAGAAACCGTCTCCGCGAAAGAGTATTCAACACCAAATTGGGTCAGCGTAAATGTGTCTATTGCGATGCAAAGGATCAAAATCAGCTGACTGCTCAAAGGTGACAGATATCAACGAAAGAAAACAAATATTGGCAAAAAAGCGCCGCTGTTTCAACTGTACCGGAGAAGGGCATAGAGCAGCGGATTGTACCAGTAAAATAACCTGTCAACATTGCGAGAGAAGACATCATACTTCTTTGTGTGAACAAGCAATGGGGAAGAAAACCCTGATGACCGCAACAAAAACCAACGAAGGAGTCTTTCCAGTCTTGACAGTGAAAGTTAATGGGATCATGTGTAAAGCATTAGTTGATTCTGGAGCTGGCAGCTCATATGCATCTGCAAAGTTGGTAAGTGTCCTTGGCATAAACCCTGTTGACATAACAACCAAACAAGTGGACATGCTCCTGAGTAGTAGTGTAGAACGTCTGAAGACCTATGCAACTAAAGTGGAGTCCCTCGATGGAGAGTTTGGTATGGAAGTAGATTTAATAAAAGTGGAAAAAAGTGAACTTTTATCAGTAAAAAACCCCCCAATACAGCCATATGATTTCCAAATACTCACACTTAAAAGGGGTTGATATCCAAGATGGTGACACGAAGGCTCAGCTTCCAGTACATGTCGTTCTTGGGGGAGGGGAGTATGCCAGAATAAAAACAAAGAATCGTCCCCGAATAGGCAAAGATGGCGAACCTATCGCGGAGTTGACCAAGCTGGGATGGTTCGTGATGTCCCCTGGAAAGGAATTTGATCACAATCATATGTTACTAACACAAACCACTCAAAAGGATTATGAGACGTTGTGCCGGTTAGATGTTTTAGGACTTGCCGACACCTCAGAACACGATCAAATCTCAGTGTATGGAGAGTTTAAGGAACAATTGCTCAGGAGTTCAGAAGGTTCGTACGAGTTTTTTCTACTGTGGCGAGGTAACCATCCGCCCTTACCATCCTACAAAGAAGGAAGTTTGCGACGCCTCAACAGTCTTGTAAAGAGATTAGACAGGGAAGGAATGGCCAGTGAGTATAACAGGATTATTGACGAACAAGTCAGCAAAGGGGTGGTTGAACTTGTAACTGAGCCCCCAGTGGGTAGGGAGTTCTACTTACCTCATAAACCCGTGATACGTAAAGCTGCACAAACAACGAAAATCCGTGTAGTTTACGATGCATCCGCTCGAGCGACTCCAAGTGCTCCATCCTTGAATGATTGCCTCTACCCAGGCCCGCCGTTACAGAATAAGCTTTGGAGCGTATTGGTTCATCATCGCTCATTTCCAGTTGCACTTTGTGGAGATATAGAAAAGGCATTCCTCCAGATCCGAATAAAAGAACAAGAAAGAGATGCCTTACGGTTTCACTGGAAGATTGACAGTCAACTTGAACCCTTGACATATAGATTCACAAGAGTCGTCTTTGGCCTAACTTGCTCCCCATTTCTGCTTGGGGGAGTGTTAGAGCATCACCTAGAAACTTGGAAAACAAAGATGCCAGATATCGTTGAGGAACTGAAGAAGTCTATGTATGTAGACGATCTGCTTAGTGGGGGACAAACAGTAGACGAAGCCAAGGAAAGGCCCGTGAGCTTGAAGCAGATGAAGAAGAAAAGGATGATGAAGAAGAAACTTTAGCAAAACAACAACTTGGAACAAAATCTGGAGAATCTAAAGTTTTGGGACTGTTATGGAAAAAGAAAAGTGACGAGATTTCCATAGTGATCCCATCAGAGAAATCGGCAAAAACGAAACGAGAAGTACTGAGTAGATTGGCTCAGGTTTATGACCCTTTGGGAATTACATCACCCTTAATTCTAGAGGGAAAGATAATTTATCGTGATATCTGTAAGGAGAAGCTCTTGTGGGATGTACAGCTAAGCCGTTCTTTGAAGTATCGATGGGACTGCTGGGAGAGCAATCTTCCCTGTGAAGTAAGTGTTCCGCGATCATTAGCTGGGTTCCGAGAACCAATCAAGTCTTTAGAGCTGCATGCATTCGGGGATGCTAGCACACAAGGTGTAGGAGCTGCAGTGTACTCAGTTATTCATCAAGAATCGGGAACTACTCAAATTCTAGTTGCTGGTAAAAGTCGTCTGGCAAAAGAGGACCTTACTGTTCCACGGCTAGAACTTGTGTCAGCCCACATGGCAGCGAACCTTCTCGTGAATGTGCGAAACGCTTTGGATCATTTATCGCGGCCGCAAAGTTTTGCATGGCTAGACAGCACTGTCGCCTTGCATTGGATACTTGGACGGGGCCATTATAAGCAGTCTCAAACCGTGTCCGTAAGATACACCAACATCCTGAAATAAAATGGCGATATGTGCCCACATCCGAAAATCCTGCAGATTTGGCCAGCAGGGGTGGGAAATTAAATCAGACGTGGCTCTACGGTCCAGAATGGTTATCTGATATGAGCAGATGGCCAAGTAATATAACCACAACTCCAACTACTGCAACAGAAGCAGAAGCGACAGTCTCCCAAAAAAGTATCGCAATGACAACAAAACAGTTCAGTGGTGATGTTCTGGAACAGTTATTAAGAAAATGCTCACTTAAACGAGCTCTAAGAGTGTCCTCATGGCTCTTCAGGTTCGTAAACAATTGTACACAAGGGGAAAAGAGAACAGGACCATTATCCTTTACCGAGATTGAAGAGGCTAAGATGAAATTTGTCAAACAAGCCCAAAAGCAAGGTCAATTACAACCAAAGTACGAGCAACAATGCAAAGAACTTAATTTTACGCGCAATACAGAAGGGATTTTAGAATGTCGTGGCCGAATTGTGGGTCAGTATCCTATCTGCCTTCCCACAGATTCCTTGCTAGCTCAAAGAGTAGTGGAAAAGTTGCATCGTGAAACGTTACATGGAGGTGTTGGATTCAAAATGGCTTCTGTAAGATAGACGTATTGGATACCGAAGTTAAGAAGCCTTGTAAAGAAAGTTAGAAAGGAGTGTTTTGGTTGTAAAAGATATCGAGCGACATCAGTTCCACACCCTCTCCTGGAAAGTTACCCGAGGACCGGACTTGTGGCGAAACAGCGTTCGAGGTAATTGGCGTAGATTTCGCGGGACCAATACGTTACAAAAGGAAGTCAAGCAAGGATTGCAAAGCGTATCTGGCACTGTTTTCATGTAGTCTAACTCGAGCAGTGTACTTGGACATGATGCCGGACCTATTTGCTTCCACGTTCATACCAAGTTTGAAACGGTTCATTGCTCGGAGGGGAAGACTCAGGAAGATCTATTCAGACAATGGGGGCACCTTCATAAAAACTGCGAAGTGAATTGATACTTTACGAAAGGAGGAACGTCTTCAAGGTTATTTGGAGGAATTCGACATTAAATGGCAGTTTAACTTGTCCCGAGCACCATGGTGGGGAGGACAGTTCGAGCGGCTGATAGGAATTGTCAAACAAGCGATGTATAAGGCAATTGGAGGCGCAAATCTGAAGTGGGAAGAACTGTGTGAAGTGATACTTGACGTTGAAGTGCAAATCAATAGAAGACCGCTCAGTTATGTTGAAGACGATGTTCAACTGCCGGTGTTGACACCCGAGCTCTTTTTATTCCAGAGATCCAATCATCTGCCAGAACAGAAATTATGGGTTGAAAGTGATCCGGACTTACGTAAGAGGGCAAGATATTTGAAATCTTGCAAACAAGCCTTGTGGAAAAGATGGTCGAAAGAATACCTTACTGCACTGCGAGAACGACATAATATGAGTCATGGGACTAAAAAGTTCATTGTAAATGTCGGAGACGTCGTGCTGATCAAATCCAATGAAAAGAATAGAGGGAAATGGCCTCTTGCGATCGTTATAGAGACATATCCAGGAAGAGATGGAGTGATACGTGGGGTAATGTTGAAAACGCCAAATGGAAACCTAGAACGACCAGTTCAATTGCTTTACCCAATGGAATTAGCTTGTGTTCGACAGAGCCATGAAGAGAGACCTGATCTTAATCCAGACGCTCAACCATTCAAGCCAAAGCGTAAGGCAGCTGAAAATGCAGCGGGGATCATCAAATCGATTGCTGACGAAGAAAACGAAGAGATTTGAAACACTCCCTAGATCATTAATCCATTTAGATATACATCTTATCTTCAGATGTATAGGGGGAGTGTGTTGGGAATAAGTTATGTTATTTGAATGTCCTACTGACAGAGAGACAAATTCTCCTTAGTTGTTATAATTTCGTTAACCAATAGGCTTAGAAAAATTTTGATTGATGTTTTGTTGTAAAGGGGTTGAAGAGAGAGTCTGAGTGAGTGAGTGAGCAATATATGTATGAGATCAACATTGCATGAGAATAAAATTTCGTTATTCAAAGGCTTGAGTTGTTGCATCTATTCGACATAGTCAAAAGGAATATTGCCTGGGCGACGGGCAAGATTCACAAAAAACTCACCATCTATGCACTATTTGGTGTTAAACCTGCACCATCTAGGTTTATACAATTGCAAAATGTTATACAATTTTAGCGCAAGATTCGAACCCAAACTATACGTTGCCCAAAATCATAAGTGACCATATATGGTGTGAACACATGGTTATTTAATGTTTTATCGGGTAGAAAAACAATCCGATGCGAAAGCATCCGGTATCGTGTAAACGCGGTTTGAATTGTGTAGGCCGAAATGGTTGTCAAAGTGCGCTATGGATACTTGTAAAAATGATTCTTGCTTTCCAAACCGAAAGAAATAATATGAAAACAGTGATTCAACAACAAGTTTCGCGTGTTTTTATTAAACTAACATTGTTCTCGCTAGCCAACGTAAATAACTTTCGTATGATTTTTGAATGAAATATTTCTCATTCTGAAATAAAATCTTTTCTCTCGACCCAAGATTATGTCGTAACTAATGCTTCTAACACATGTTTCACTTTACTCGACAATGCAATTTAGTGAGTCAGCTTATTTTTGAGACTAAGGCCCAGTTCAAACGTCGCATTTTACATGCGCCGAATCAAATGCGAGAATTATGTGCATGTAAAATGCGACGTTTGAATCAATTAAATTCGACGGATTTTAATTTAATGCGACTTTAGTCGAATATTCGACGGAAATTCGATGTTGATTCAAACGTCGCCTTTTACATGAGCCGAATTTAATGCATAATTTATTTTAAGATATTTCTAAGCAAAAATCAATTATTTCCATGCTAAATGCCATGCGCAAAGTTGTAAAAACATGGCGGCGGCGAGTGATGGTAATGGCCCTTGTATTTCGTGCACAAGTTTAACAAAATACACTTGTTTAAGGTGCAAAAAATTTATATGTCCAAGGAAAGTTTCCTCGAGATACACGAAATGTTCTTTTGAATCGAAGATCAGAATAAATACTCCAAACTTTCTTCCACCAGCCGGAATTTCTATCTTGTCTTCGACATGGTCAATAAGGAGGGCTACGTATGAAGGCTTTTTTTTGACCAATTAACGGTAGAAAAACATGGGAAATTTGCAGAAGCTGCCGTCTCGTTTCTAATAGTTTATTTTCTTTAACATGAATCAATATTCGTCTTTTCCTATTAACACGAATCATATTTGAAATGCATAAACTCAACATTTTTCTGTTCGCCATTTTAGGAAATTAGTACAAGAAAATGAATAAACTATGAAAAAGTGGAAGCATAACTATAATAAATGCGACTATTAAATTCGACTGAATCAAACTACGCATAAAACTATTTTAGTCGACTAAAACTTAGATTTGATTCGGCGCATGTAAAATGCGACGTTTGAACCGGGCCTAATATTCAGTTCTAAAAGATTTTGTCTGTTGTAGTGATGTGGGAAAAGGAACAGTTTGCTGGCTAAGATCGCTTTAAGGAAATTGAACATGAGAGTATAAAACTTGTTTAGTTGAAAGAAGCGTGATATTTATCCTTTTACCAAACGAACACCGCATATAGTGTAGGAATTATTTGTAAAATCAAACATTAAACAAGAAAGTATAGATTGTTGTACAACATACCTTTTAATCCGAACGAACGTTTGTTTTTTCTAAATACTGCTACTCTAGCTCCCGTTTGACGATTTCTTCAGCAGTCTGCTTACATAAATTACACGAGCACTTTTCACGTTAACATTTATGTCCTTTAACATCAATGATTTTTTCGTGATTGCAGCAAAATTCCCGTGATTGGGAGAACGCTTTCTCTTGATTTTGTTGTCTTTTGTACGTACGGACTTCTTCTGACTCTTTGGCATTTTGTATTGTAACCTTGTTGAGCTCCTAGCGCGTCACTATGAAAACTGACAACAAACGAACAAATCGAAACTTCCGCGTTATATGCAAAGTACTATGGCATGTAGGCGTAAGCACCTTAACATTCATTGGTTATGACATTGCCTTTTTCCCAAATTAGCATATTATTCATGATAAATTGTGTGTCAAATTACTTTCACCATGACAAGTAAACCACTCACTCACCAGGTGAGAGAATAATCAGGAGATCTTAAGTTTAACATTGGTGTATAAAGAAAATGGGATTTACAAAAAACACATTTCCACTTATGAAGATTACCTTTTGACGCCCTACGTTCTCTCTTATGACTATGGTCCTGTTCACACGATACCAGATTCGCATTGTACCGGATTTGATGTGCAATTTGATAAGAAATATCATATGCACTCTGTTCACACGATGCCGGATTCGCTGAGCAATTCGATACGAAATATCATATGCACTCTGTTCACACGATACCGGATTCGCTGAGCAATTCGATACGAAATATCATATGCACTCTGTTCACACGATGCCGTATTCGCTGAGCAACTCGATACGAAATATCACATGCACTCTGTTCACACGATGCCGGATTCGCTGAGCAATTCGATACGAAATATGATATGCACTCTGTTCACACGATGCCGGATTCGTAAGACGCAACATAAGTTCTTAATTCGCCCCAGTACTTATACGGGCAAGTAATAACAGCGATGTTTGCTAATTCAAATATTTCGTAAGTAACCTGTGGTTGGGCGAAATAATGAAAAGCTGTATTCACCTTTATACTCCGGCGTGTGAGTTGGCTTTTTCTTTTAATACTAGTGCCTTGTATTCTTTTTGACATATTAAGCATTATAATTTAGATGTTAATGTTGATACCATCTCCCTTTTCACATTAACCAACTTATACACAAAATGGAGCGTACATGTATTACTTCATTTTCATCAAATTGAATTTTTATGTACTATACCTCGTACTGTGGTCTGTACGGACTATTATAATTAATGGCATAATCTATTATGATTGTCATAGGTGTAAGTAACTAAAAAACGAGAAATCTTTTAAAGGATCTTATATAATCTCATAGGAAACATTTCCGTTCTATGAACGCTTGTAAAAACCTGATGGCATATCTCACTGAAAATATTAATTAGAAAACTTTGTAGTAAGTTTTGGTGTGGAGAGCAGACGATTCTTGCTTGCACGTAATACAAGCCCTGCATGTAATACAAATTTCCTTGCTGTACTATGACAGAGGGAATATTCAAAGTTATCAAATGTATTTTAAGATATACGTTGTTTCAGTGTATCTTTCAATTATATAAAGTCGTAATACATACAGATAGGAAGTCATTTATGCTGAAAAATTTCAAGTATTTTGTCACTTTTGTTTACTCTGCACATATCTATCTACTTTATATCAACTTGTTGGTTTTGACATTGTCAGGAGGAATCTGGTGCTCGCAAATTTTGCTGCTTTATCGAATGCATTTAAATATTATGAACTGATCATTTCTATCATAATAAAATACATGAAAAATCATCACCTAGAAACCAGAACCTGGTGTTCAGATCAAACAGCAGAAAAATCCTTCACGATAAGATGTTACACCTAGTCGGCTTAACCCCCACTGCCTATGATGCAATTCGGCCTATTTCAGAATGAAAAGTATCACAATGAAAATTCCGTGGAAGGCGTAGAACCCTTTCGAAATTCGTCTCATTGTTAGCTCCAAAAGTGCTCTTCGCAAAAGAGTCTTCTTCGGCTTGTGAAAGAGAATTTATAACGGACTCATCCTCTTCCCGTGAGATCAGTTTACGAACTTTCGCGCTATTACTCAACCATATTTGCAATCGAAATCCTCCATTCAACAACACGTTTTTCGATTTTGAATAAAGTTCTATCGCATCGTTTTCAGTTTATCTCCTGAAATGAGATCATCTACATAAAAACTCTTTTTAAGTTTCTGAAGAAAGTTGCCATCACGTTCAACAAATATATCAAAATGGTAACGAAGTGTCGCATTCAAAAGAAATGGAGAACAGCAATCTCGTAGCTGATTATCCCTCATCGCCTTCCCTAACGTTGTAATTTCAAGCCATTCTTTCCTGTTAACAGGTAACCCCGCTGCCTTAACCGTCTTAGACCTAACAAATGATTTATGACTACCAGTATCAAACATAACTCTTAAGCGTGCCTCCCGATTAGCACCCCTTAGCAAGCCTTGAGCAGTCTGCAGTACAACACGGCACTCGGAGCCGACATGCAAATTTGACTCACATTACTTCTCGCAACATTCCCAGAGTCAACTAGGGTATTTAACTCACAAAGGGATACGTGATGCCCACCCATGTTACATTGTTTACAGTTTACCTTATTAGGGCAATTCTTAGAGATATGCCCCTTACCTAAACATATGAAACATTTTCCATCTTTTCGAACTAACAATTTTCTATCCTTAACACTACTCACTTTTTTACAGTTCTCATGCGGATGCCTTTCCAAACAAAAGGCACAACGATCGTCTTCTGCTTTTGTTGTTAGTGCTGCTGCAGTCCCTTGCTCTTCCTTACCTCCGTCGTCCCTTTGCTGCAACTTCGGCTTTGAATGCTCTTCTTGCAGTTCTACTTCCGCTAACAGTTCCACAAGTAACTCGTCCATCGTCCATTCTTTGTGCTGCTTTCCACGCAAAAGATTCAATCGAACAATTTCAGGCAGCTTATATAATAAGCTCGGAACGACAATCTTCTCAGAACTGTCCTGGTCAACCTTCAGTGCTTGCAAGCCCCAATGACGAGTTTCCATCGCATCGTAGAGAGCTCGTAGTTTTGCTGGATCACGCACGCTGTAAACGGCTGGCAGATTTATTACTTCTTTGATATGAGTCCTTTTGATGATGCGAGTACGACCATACCGTTGCTTTAACTGTTCTTTTGCACCTCGTAAATTGCTGCCGTCAATGCATAACCAGAAATTGAGTCTTTCGCTTTATCCTTCAATAAGCCGCGAAGATAGGAGAACTTGTCGACGTCAGACAATTCAGCATTTTGGTCGACTGAGCTACAAAATGAGTCCCAAAACTCTTGCCAATGCTCGATCTTTCCGTCAAATTTCTGCAACTCCAATTTTGAAAGCTTCACTCGAACATTTCGACGACTCAGTGCTTGTTCGTCTTCAATCGATCGTACAGAGTTGTGTTCAGACTCTACGACAGGTATCAACGCTTCTTCTAACCTTCGTATCGATTCCTTCATTTCAGTTCTCAACAACCCTGCTTCTTCGATTTCACTCAAAAGAACGTCTTCTTCCAAGTCTTCAATGTCTTCTAAAAGACGCAATATCTCACTATCAAGCGACTGGATATCCTGCAGCTGATCTTCTAACGTGATTTTACGGTTCTGTAACAGCTGTTTATCTTCTAGGGCACTGTCTATCATTTCTCCGACTTCAGCGAGGATCCGTTTTAAAAACCCGCGTTGACCGTTTCGTGTGCGCTTCTTTTTTTCTCAAATTTTACATTTATTTTACAAGCTAAACAAGCTACAAGTACATCGCTGGAGTATTTTTACGCTATCTATTAGAGTTAATTATTTACATGTATTTATACTAACTGTAATTACAACAAAACATAAGTCGAGCTTTCCTTTTACGTCTTAGCAGTTCTCACTCTTTCATTGCGTTTCAAAAAACTAACATAGCCTACGACAATTTTATTACTAAGCTCAAAAGAATGCAATATCCCACAAAAGTCATCTTGAAAAGTCAAAATTAGAGCTCTTAGTATTTATAGAAACATACATGAAAACGTAGTTCTTCAATTGGTAATATTCTCACTCCATTTAAAAACCGATATATTAAACAGTGTTGTGCGGAGCACAGTGTTTAAGATAAAATTGTGTAAAAGTTGTGAAAAATTATTATGAAATTTTCTTTGCCATCATTAAAATGGTGAAACGAGGAAAATTTTTTATTGATTTCAGATTGCGTCATTTCTATGTTTCAAGGCGTGGTCTTGTAGAAAATTATAAATGTAAACCTGTATGATCGTTCAGCAAATAATTTCATTAACTCACCATCTATGCACTTTTTGGTGTTAAACCTGCACTATCTAGGTTTATACAATTGCAAAATGTTATACAATTTTAGCGCAAGATTCGAATCCAAACTATACGTTGCCCAAAATCATAATTGACCATATATGGTGTGAACACATGGTTATTTAATTTTTTATCGTGCAGAAAAGCAATCCGATGCGAAAGCATCCGGTATCGTGTAAACGCGGTTTGAATTGTGTAGGCCGAAATGGTTGTCAAAGTGCGCTTTGGATACTTGTAAAAATGATTCTTGCTTTCCAAACCGGAAGAAATAATATGAAAACAGTGATTCAACAACAAGTTTGCCTGTTTTTATCAATCTAACATTGTTCTCGAACGCTAGCCAACGTAAATGATTTTCGTATGATTTTTGAATGAAATATTTCTCATTCTGAAATAAAATCTTTTCTCTCGACCCAGGATTATGTCGTAGCTAATGCTTCTAACACATGTTTCACTTTACTCGACAATGCAATTTAGTGAGTCAGCTTATTTTTGAGACAAATATTCAGTTCTAAAAGATTTTATCTGTTGTAATGATGTGTGAAAAGGAACAGTTTGCTGGCTAAGATCGCTTTAAGGAAATTGAACATGAGAGTAATAAAACTTGTTTAGTTGAAAGAAGCGTGATATTTATCCTTTCACCAACCGAACACCGCATATAGTGTAGAAATTATTTGTAAAATCAAACATTAAACAAGAAAGTATAGATTGTTGTACAACATACCTTTTAATCCGAACGAACGTTTGTTTTTTCTAAATACTGCTACTCTAGCTCCCGTTTGACGATTTCTTCAGCAGTCTGCTTACATAAATTACACGAGCACTTTTCACGTTAACATTTATGTCCTTTAACATCAATGATTTTTTCGTGATTTCGGCATTTCCTACATTTGGGAGGACTCTTTCTCTTGATTTTGAGGTCTTTCTTATGGTCTGATTTGCTCTGACTTTCGCATTTTTTGTAATAAAACCTTGACAAGCCTCTAGCGCGTCACGATGAAAACTGACAACAAACGAACAAATCGAAACTTCCGCGTTATATGCAAAGTACTATGGCATGTAGGCGTAAGCATCTTAACATTCATTGGTTATGACATTGCCTTTTTTTCCCAAATTGCATATTATTAATGATAAATTATGTGTCAAGTTACTTTCACCATGACAAGTAAACCACTCAATCACCAGGTGTGAGAATAAACAGGATCTCTTGAAGGTTCTCTCGGTGGTAGTCCTGACACAATTCTGCATTTATTGCAAGTGCAATCTTTAAATTGACAGTTTTCTTTGTGATTTCGCCTAAGAATTTTAATTCCATGATTGAAGCATTTAGCACAATTATGTGTTCGTCGACCTGAAGATGAATTATCTCTATCTGAATCACTCATCTTCTCTTTCTTCTATCAAGTGAAATTATTGTTGACCTTCTTCCAATTAAGATCTTGCTGTAAGTAACTCCAAGCAAATGTGTGGTAGATCTAGACGTATTGCAAATCTTATATATTTCCGATTCCTCATAATAACTCATGAAGTTTTTTTACCTTTAGTATTTAATTACTAACACTAAGACAGCCAGATTATCAAACCATTGTTGAACGAGGTGAAGGAGGCAAATATTTGACATAAATAGTCCTTTGAGAATTTGAAATTTACCAAAAACTTTCTGATAAAACTTATTTGAAACCATGCAGTTATGTTTCACTTCGAATTCGTTGCTTTTCATGATATATTTTACCATGTAACGCTTCATTGGCATTATGCCAACTCCTTTATCTCTCTCAAAATTCAAGTAATAAATTGACTGGTGCTCTTGTAAGTTGTAACGTAATTGCTTTTTAATGTTGTGCGTAAAATTGAATGTCGATTTTGAATAAAAAAAACTTGTTTGAAAATTTATCAAAACACAAGAGAAATATTATATTTTACAGTATTTGTTCATTAAACAACACATTGTAAAAGAACTGCAAACTTACACGCTAGAAAATATAAAGTAGACTAATTTGAAAAAGTTGAATTCTGTTCATTGATGATTTTGATTATTATACATATAAAAGTTTCCAGTAATTGACGTAAATGCTTCTCAAGACACTTCGTTAAAACTGTAAAAAACATTTACTCTAAGACACACTATTTCCTTATCATTAAGAAAAGAGACACGCCTCAGCTTACAATAGAACAAATGGTAAAATTCAGAAGTAGGAAGTAACTAGAATCAACAACAATTATAAAATATTAACAGCATATTAACTGCAAATGCAGAACAATTATTGCTCAATTTAAACATTTAAACTATCATAAAGGTAAGCACAACTAAGTAAAATCAACCTACAGTAAAATTCTACATGGCGCCGAGGAGTCTAATGACTCATTGATTCATTCCTGGTTTGCTGTCAAGCGCTGTTAATAGCAGTTTATGCTCTTAATAGCAGTTTCGAATAAGTAATTATTCATAAAAAAGCGATATTTGCAACAGTGGCCAGGAATTTTGCAGCGCATCAGAACAAAGAGCTTAATCTCATTCAAACATCAGCACAGTCTAAAACAAACACAATTTACATAACAATAAATGGAACTGGACTTGGCGTGCAGTTCTCGATTTACCTAATCAACTAAGATCAGATTTCTAATAACACATTTTCATTTGTTTTAGGCAGCTTGTAACTTATTGCCAAAGATTTTGTTAGATTCTTTTATAAAAGATAAAGTCACAAATTGCAACTTGACTTTTGTGTCACGTGATTGTTTTACGCATCCCGCTTTTGTCACACACGCAGGCATATGCTAACAACTATACACCTAGCGACAAAACTTCCCAAAAATAACACCATCAGTTACATACGTTGATGCAGATAATATTGACATGACAATAATGTACAACTGTAGTTTTGCTCTCACTATCTTCTTAATAACCTTTTGATAGTATCTCAATCAACTTATTGCCGTTGATTTTGTGCCAACTGCGATTAAATGATGTTTAATCTTTGAACGCGGAGATCGTAAATAAGGAATATTTTATCGTATTCATTAGCCAGGCCAGACTTGCACCATGCATTTAAATTTTTTGTTATATTTGACGTTTTGTCAAATCTGCACCTATATTATACGTAATCATGAAAAAATACAGGCCAAACATTTTCCTCACCCGGTCACTGTTTTAACCGAGCACTTTAAAAGTGGCAAAAACAAAAACTCAATATGGAAAATTAGTTAAAAGAAATTTTAAAAACCAATCCTATGAAACAATTTAAAGAATTAAATCAAGACTATCAACTTTGAAACTGTATGTTAACTCAGGAAGCAGATGTAAGTAACAAATATAGTCAGTTTTGTAACTTTTTAATGATGGCGGCTTGCTTCACACGTTATCATAGAATTTTTCCGAGTCAGATATGTAATAAATTGAATTCTAAAATATTGTCTCCAATGATCTTACCCGGTTTAAAATCTACGTTACCGAAAAAGGTAACTCTATAGAAATTAACTTATTGTTCATAAACGGCTTATAACAAAGAACATTTTCTGGTCTAATAATCGTGCTTGTGACAAGTAGTTTATGAACAATAGTGCCTTGTAAATTTGCTGGGGCAGTATTTTCATTATCAGTCAAACAATGCTTTTTTACAAATTCATTCGACATATCCATTTGTTGATTTTTATCTTTAGAAATTCCTAACCAATAACTTATTTTAAACGTATTTTAACTTTCAAAGCGGTTATAATTTTTTTGCTCATTCCTGAACCTGGTATTGGTTATGTTAGAGTTGAGGATGAAACATATTGCAACATAAAAAGTCATCTTGAAAACTCAAAATTAGTGCTCTTAGTATTTATAGAAACATACATGAAAACGTAGTTCTTCAATTTGTGATATTCTCACTCAATTTCAAAACCGACATATTAAACAGTGTTGTGCGGAGCACAGTGTTTAAAATAAAATTGTGTAAAAGTTGTGAAAAATGATTATGAAATTTTCTTTGCCATCATTAAAACGGTGAAACGAGGAAAATTTTTTATTGACTTCAAATTGCGTCAGTTCTTTGTTTAAAGGCATGGTCTTGTAGATTATAAATTATAAATGTAAACCTATATGATCGTTCAGCAAATAATTTCATTAACTTACCATCTATGCACTTTTTGGTGTTAAACCTGCACCATCTAGGTTTATACAATTGCAAAATGTTATACAATTTTAGCGCAAGATTCGAACCCGAACTATACGTTGCCCAAAATCATAAGTGACCATATATGGTGTGAACACATAGTTATTTTATTTTTTATCGGGTAGAAAAACAATCCGATGCGAAAGCATCCGGTATCGTGTAAACGCGGTTTGAATTGTGTAGGCCGAAATGGTTGTCAAAGTGCGCTATGGATACTTGTAAAAATGATTCTTGCTTTCCAAACCGGAAGAAATAATATGAAAACAGTGATTCAACAACAAGTTTCGCGTGTTTTTATTAAGCTAACATTGTTCTCGCTAGCCAACGTAAATAACTTTCGTATGATTTTTGAATGAAATATTTCTCATTCTGAAATAAAATCTTTTCTTTCGACCCAAGATTATGTCGTAGCTAATGCTTCTAACACATGTTTCACTTTACTCGACAATGGAATTTAGTGAGTCAGCTTATTTTTGAGACAAATATTTAGTTCTAAAAGATTTTGTCTGTTATAGTGATGTGTGAAAAGGAACAGTTTGCTGGCTAAGATCGCTTTAGGGAAATTGAACATGAGAGTAATAAAACTTGTTTAGTTGAAAGAAGCGTGATATTTATCCTTTCACCAACCGAACACCGCATATAGTGTAGGAATTATTTGTAAAATCAAACATTAAAGAAGAAAGTATAGATTGTTGTACAACATACCTTTTAATCCGAACGAACGTTTGTTTTTTCTAAATACTGCTACTCTAGCTCCCGTTTGACGATTTCTTCAGCAGTCTGCTTACATAAATTACACGAGCACTTTTCACGTTAATGTCGATTTCAGTTAACTTTTCAAATGGCGGTTGCCAAGTTACTTTCTAATGTTGCCAACTACATTTCCAAATATGGAATATTCGTTATGAACTTGTCAACTTGAGTTGACAAGTTGTGTACTTGAGTACTGAAGTTGGGAACTTGAGTACTGAAGTTGGGAACTTTAGTACCGAAGTTGTGAACTAAAGTTGCGAAGTACTAGCAAACGCGAAAGGTCTTTGTACCCTGTAGACATTTGGCAATGAATCCGTTCAGTAAGCAAGGAAAAGCTTTAGCAATTCTAATCCGTTTGACGGCCCTCTTAGAGTGTTATAATGCGATACGCCGTTCACATTATGTAAAAAATTTACAGTAAATGTGGCACTAGAAGAGTATCGTTGGATTTTAAATGCAGGAGTACCCTGCAAACTGTGCCCTCGACGTCTGTTGCCACTCGTAACAACTACAGACGACTCATCAAAGAAATGCCTACGGTTGCAATCACAATCAATGAAATATTTGCTACGTAAGCTTCTAACTTCTCCATAACGTCCGGCCGTTCTGTCTCTCGAGGAATTTGACTTATTACCTTGTAAGAGTAACCAAGATCTTTATTCAAAATTCTACTAATGGATGACCTGCTAGGTATGTTTGCTGGAAGGCAAACTTTGATATTTTCTAGGTGTTGCTGAATCTCTTTTGCGTAAATAGATGGTTTATTAATTTTTAGATATTCAGCGTATGCAATAACGTCATCTGTACGCGTGGTTCGAACATCACGTTCGCCCTGGCGAGGTGCAATAGAACCAGTATCTACCCATAGATCTATTATATTTGATATAGTCTTATACGGTAGATTTAGTTGTTTCAAAATGTTTGTCAAACGCTGGTTATTTAACCACCTTTCAAGTATTTCATTTCTTACTTCTATTGGTAAAGCTTTTCCTTGCTTACTGAACGGATTCATTGCCAAATGTCTACAGGGTACAAAGACCTTTCGCGTTTGCCAGTACTTCGCAACTTTAGTTCCCAACTTCAGTACTCAAGTACACAACTTGTCAACTCAAGTTGACAAGTTCATAACGAATATTCCATATTTGGAAATATAGTTGGCAACATTAGAAAATAACTTGGCAACCGCCATTTGAAAAGTTAACTGAAATCGACAATAACATTTATGTCCTTTAACATCAATGATTTTTTCGTGATTTCGGCATTTCCTACATTTGGGAGGACTCTTTCTCTTGATTTTGAGGTCTTTCTTATGGTCTGATTTGCTCTGACTTTCGCATTTTTTGTAATAAAACCTTGACAAGCCTCTAGCGCGTCACGATGAAAACTGACAACAAACGAACAAATCGAAACTTCCGCGTTATATGCAAAGTACTATGGCATGTAGGCGTAAGCATCTTAACATTCATTGGTTATGAAATTGCCTTTTTCCCAAATTAGCATATTATTAATGATAAATTGTGTGTCAAATTACTTTCACCATGACAAGTAAATCACTCAATCACCAGGTGTGAGAATAATCAGGAGATATTAGGTTTAACATTGGTGTATAAAGAAAATGGGATTTAATGGGATTTACAAAAAACACATTTCCACTTATGAAGATTACCTTTTGACGCCCTACTTTCTCTCATGACTATGGTCCTGTTCACACGATACCAGATTCGTATTGTACTGGATTTGATGAGCAATTCTATGGCAAGCCAAACCTGCCAAAAGTGTATCGAGATTTATAAGTCGTATTAGAATTACTATAAGTCTACTCGAGATTCGTAAAGTGGTACTCGAAATTACTATAATGCGGTGTTAAAACTATATTATTATTGTTGAGTTGTGTATGACGAGATTTATAAGACGAGTTTTATATGACGAGTTTCATATGACGAGTTTTATATGATGAGTTTCATATGACGAGTTTTATAAGACGAGTTTTATATGACGAGTTTCATATGACGAGATTTATATCGCGAGTTTTCCTCTAACAACATGAAGTATTGAGTTAAAAAACACGTGTTTGTTTCAAAAGCAGTTATTAATTATATGCAAAATTTCGGCGGGTATAAACCCGTCTACAAATCGCATACCTCCTTCGCATATTTCTTCCAATAGTATCGATTCTCCGAAGACTTTCTCTGACCCTTTCTCTTTGGACATAGATCTTTCTAGCCCTTAAACTACCCCTGATATAACATTCTCCACTATATGGGGTAAGCCTTAAAATATCTCTTATCTGCCCATCTAAACTATCATCGGTGATGTCTGTAAAGCTAGCCTCAACTCCATATTCAATCCTTCTCCGGTAAATTGTTTGTTCTGATACACCTAGGAAGCTACCTATACTTTTCCATTTCATTCCGGTATCTCGTAATTGCTCTATCTGTACTTTGGTTATATCAAAACAAGGCCTCCCTCCCTCCCGACTCGTTTCAGCATTTGGCAAATTTAAAGCGGTCGTATGTCGTCCAAATATAGTTCTCACTTCTGACCTTACAGAACTGTCCACGTCAGGTGATATTCTTACAGCTCTGTAACTCTGCCAAGAAGCTCCTGAATAATTTCTCTATTGCTCATTTCTGTCATTTTGGTGAGAGCGATACAGTATAGATAGAAAATACAAAGTTACCAACCCGCCGAAATTTTGCATATAATTAATAACTGCTTTTGAAACAAACACGTGTTCTTTAACTCAATACTTCATGCTGTTAGAGGAAAACTCGCGATATAAATCTCGTCATATGAAACTCGTCATATAAAACTCGTCTTATAAATCTCGTCATATGAAACTCGTCATATAAACTCGTCATATAAAACTCGTCTTATAAATCTCGTCATATGTCTTATAAATCTCGTCATATAAAAAAACTCGTCTTATAAATCTCGTCACAGTTTATAAAACAACTCGTCATATAAATCTCGTCATACACAACTCAACAATAATAATATAGTTTTCACACCGCATTATAGTAATTTCGAGTACCACTTTACGATTCTCGAATAGACTTATAGTAATTCTAATACGACTTATAAATCTCGATACACTTTTGGCAGGTTTGGCTTGCCATACAATTCGATAGGAAATATCATATGCACTCTGTTCACACGATACAGGACTCGCTGAGCAATCCGATACGAAATATTATATGCACTCTGTTCACACGATGCCGGATTCGTAAGACGCAACATAAGTTCTTAATTCGACCCAGTACTTGTACGGGCAAGTAATAACAGCGATGTTTGCTAATTCATATATTTCGTAAGTGACCTGCGGTTGGGCGAAATAATGAAAAGCTGTATTCACCTTTATACTCCGGCGTGTGAGTAGGCTTTTTCTATTAATACTAATGCCTTGTATTCTTTTTGACATGTTAAGCATTATAATTTAGATGTTAATGTTGATACCATCTTTCTTTTCACACTAACCAACTTATACAGAAAATGGAGCGTACATGTATTACTTCATTTTCATCAAATTGAATTTTTATGTACTATACCTCGTACTGTGGTCTGTACGGACTATTATAATTAATGGCATAATCTATTATGATTGTCATAGGTGTAAGTAACTAAAAAACGAGAAATCGTTTAAAGGATCTGATATAATCTCATTTGCGAATTTTCGCGCTACTACTCAACCATTTTCGCAATCGAAATCCTCCATTTAACAACACGTTTTTCGATTTTGAATAAAGTTATCGCATCGTTTTCAGTTTTATCTCCCGAAATAAGATCATCTACATAAAAACTATTTTTAAGTTTCTGAACAAAGTCGCCATCACGTTCAACAAATTTATCAAAATGGTAACGAAGTGTCGCATTCAAAAGAAATGGAGAACAGTTCACGCCTAATGCAACTCGACAGAATCGGAATACCATTGGTCTATTCGTGCAAGAACTTACGTCTCCTACACACAAAAATCGCAAAACATCGCGGTCTTCTTTAGCGACCTCAACGTTCAGAAAAGTCTTTTCGTTATCCGCAAGAAGCGCAACACGCTTTTCCCTAAAGCGCAACAAAATATCAAAAAGAAAAGGAGCCAAAGACGGATCGACATGCAAACAATCATTCAAAGACGCACTATTCTTATTCTCCTTGCAAGACGCATCGTACACCACTCTACCCTTGGTAGTTTTAGCTTCCTTTTTGACAATTGCATGTTGTGCTAAATAATGTACTCTTCCTGGTTTCTCTAATTCAACCACTTTCTCTATTATTCCGGATTCTAACTCTTTGATTATCTTATCATATTTGTTTAAGGTGTTTGAGTCTTGTCTCAGTTTCGTCAATTGTCCTTTAAGACGTTTCACACTGACGTTGTAGTTTGAGGGCAAGGGATTGTGGCGTCCTTCCAAGGCAATTTGACTTGATATCTTTTTCCATTAAAACTTATCCCATCCTGTAATGCTTTATGCACTTGATTTCCTTCCCTTATACCTAAAGATTCATAATCCCACAACTTATTGATATTGTTAAGAACTTTTGGTTCTTCCGTGACAAAATTACCACAACTTACCTGCTGCGTTCGTGCACTTTCACACAATCCCTTATCCTGCCCTGACAGTACCCAACCCAAACTTGTGTCTACAGCAACCGGTTCATTAGGTTCTCCACGCACAGTCTTTCCATTTTGAAGGAGCCAAATATAATCTGAACCTATTAATACATATATCTCAAACACATCTTTAGACTTAGACACATCTGAAAGCCAGACATCACGTAAATGAGGATACTCCCCCCTACGCAATTCGACGTGCTCATTTGCTACTTGAGCTATCGATTCCACACCGAACGTTTCCATTTTAAACGATTTCGACCCTTTTAAAGGTGCAATCTCAAGCTCAAAAACATCTCGTAGCTGATTATCCCTCATCGCCTTCCCAAACGTTGTAATTTCAAGCCATTCCTTCCTGTTAACAGGTAACCCCGCTGCCTTAACCGTCTTAGACCTAACAAATGATTTATGACTACCAGTATCAAACATAACTCTTAAGCGTGCCTCCCGATTAGCACCCCTTAGCAAGCCTTGAGCAGTATGCAGTACAACACGACACTCGGAGCCGACATGCAAATTTTGACTCACATTACTTCTCGCAACATTCCCAGAGTCAACTAGGGTATTTAACTCACAAAGGGATACGTGATGCCCACCCATGTTACATTGTTTACAGTTTACCTTATTTGGGCAATTCTTAGAGATAATGCCCCTTACCTAAACATATGAAACATTTTCCATATTTTCGAACTAACAATTTTCTATCCTTAACACTACTCACTTTTTTACAGTTCTCATGCGGATGCCTTTCCAAACAAAAAGCACAACGATCGTCTCCTGCTTTTGTTGTTAGTGCTGCTGCAGTTCCTTGTTCTTCCTTACCTCCGTCGTCCCTTTGCTGCAACTTCGGCTTTGAATGCTCTTCTCGCAGTTCTACTTCCGCTAACAGTTCCACATGTAACTCGTCCATCGTCCATTCTTCGTGCCTCTTTCCACGCAAAAGATTCAATCGAACAGTTTCAGGCAGCTGATATAATAAGCTCGGAACGACAATCTTCTCAGAACCTTCAGTGCTTGCAAGCCCCAATGACGAGTTTCCATCGCATCGTAGAGAGCTCGTAGTTTTGCTGGATCACGCACGCTGTAAACGGCTGGCAGATTTATTACTTCTTTGATATGAGTCCTTTTGATGATGCGAGTACGACCATACCGTTGCTTTAACTGTTCTTTTGCACCTCGTAAATTGCTGCCGTCAATGCATAACCAGAAATTGAGTCTTTCGCTTTATCCTTCAATAAGCCGCGAAGATAGGAGAACTTGTCGACGTCAGACAATTCAGCATTTTGGTCGACTGAGCTACAAAAAGAGTCCCAAAACTCTTGCCAATGCTCGATCTTTCCGTCAAATTTCTGCAACTCCAATTTTAGAAGCTTCACTCGAACATTTCGACGACTCAGTGCTTGTTCGTCTTCAATCGATCGTACAGAGTTGTGTTCAGACTCTACGACAGGTATCAACGCTTCTTCTAACCTTCGTATCGATTCCTTCATTTTAGTTCTCAACAACCCTGCTTCTTCGATTTCACTCAAAAGAACGTCTTCTTCCAAGTCTTCAATGTCTTCTAAAAGACGCAATATCTCACTAACAAGCGACTGGATACCCTGCAGCTTATCTTCTATTGTTATTTTACGGTTCTGTATCAGCTGTTTATCTTGTGGGGCAATGTCTATCATTTCTCCGACTTCAGCGAGGATCCATTTTACAAACCCGCGATGACCGTTTCGTGTGCGCTTCTTTTTTCTCAAATTTTCCATTTCACAATCGTTTTTTTTTCTTCAATCCAATCAATTCAAAATGATCCGGCTCGAATGACCATGTGTCGAGGAATCCGCTCCTCAGCTGGTTCACTAACACTCTTCGTTTTTAACCTTTTATTTTACAAGCTAAACAAGCTACAAGTACATCACTGGAGTATTTTTACGCTATCTTTTAGAGTTAATTATTTACATGTATTTATACTAACTGTAATTACAACAAAACATAAGTCGAGCTTTCCTTTTACGTCTTAGCAGTTCTCACTCTTTCATTGCGTTTCAAAAAACTAACATAACTACGACAATTTTATTACTAAGCTCAAAAGAATCCATATCCCACAAAAGTCATCTTGAAAAGTCAAAATTAGTGCTCTTAGTATTGATAGAAACATACATGAAAACGTAGTTCTTCAATTAGTGATATTCTCACTCCATTTCAAAACCGATATATTAAACAGTGTTGTGCGGAGCACAGTGTTTAAGATAAAATTGGGTAAAAGTTGTGAAAAATTATTATGAAATTTTCTTTGCCATCATTAAAATGGTGAAACGAGGAAAATTTTTGATTGATTTCAAATTGCGTCAGTTCTTTGTTTAAAGGCGTGGTCTTGTAGAAAATTATAAATGTAAACCTATATGATCATTCAGCAAATAATTTCATTAACTCACCATCTATGCACTTTTTGGTGTTAAACCTGCACCATCTAGGTTTATACAATTGCAAAATGTTATACAATTTTAGCGCAAGATTCGAACCCGAACTATACGTTGCCCAAAATCATAAGTGACCATATATAGTGTGAACACATAGTTATTTTATTTTTTATCGGCTAGAAAAACAATCCGATGCGAAAGCATCCGGTATCGTGTAAACGCGGTTTGAATTGTGTAGGCCGAAATGGTTGTCAAAGTGCGCTTTGGATACTTGTAAAAATGATTCTTGCTTTCCAAACCGGAAGAAATAATATGAAAACAGTGATTCAACAACAAGTTTGCCTGTTTTTATCAAGCTAACATTGTTCTCGAACGCTAGCCAACGTAAATGATTTTCGTATGATTTTTGAATGAAATATTTCTCATTCTGAAATAAAATCTTTTCTCTCGACCCAGGATTATGTCGTAGCTAATGCTTCTAACACATGTTTCACTTTACTCGACAATGCAATTTAGTGAGTCAGCTTATTTTTGAGACAAATATTCAGTTCTAAAAGATTTTGTCTGTTGTAGTGATGTGTGAAAAGGAACAGTTTGCTGGCTAAGATCGCTTTAGGGAAATTGAACATGAGAGTAATAAAACTTGTTTAGTTGAAAGAAGCGTGATATTTATCCTTTCACCAACCGAACACCGCATATAGTGTAGGAATTATTTGTAAAATCAAACATTAAACAAGAAAGTATAGATTGTTGTACAACATACCTTTTAATCCGAACGAACGTTTGTTTTTTCTAAATACTGCTACTCTAGCTCTTGTTTGACGATTTCTTCAGCAGTCTGCTTACATAAATTACACGAGCACTTTTCACGTTAACATTTATGTCCTTTAACATCAATGATTTTTTCGTGATTTCGGCATTTCCTACATTTGGGAGGACTCTTTCTCTTGATTTTGAGGTCTTTCTTATGGTCTGATTTGCTCTGACTTTCGCATTTTTTGTAATAAAACCTTGACAAGCCTCTAGCGCGTCACGATGAAAACTGACAACAAACGAACAAATCGAAACTTCCGCGTTATATGCAAAGTACTATGGCATGTAGGCGTAAGCATCTTAACATTCATTGGTTATGACATTGCCTTTTTCCCAAATTAGCATATTATTCATGATAAATTGTGTGTCAAATTACTTTCACCATGACAAGTAAACCACTCAATTACCAGGTGTGAGAATAAACAGGATCTCTTGAAGGTTCTCTCGGTGGTAGTCCTGACACAATTCTGCATTTATTGCAAGGGCAATCTTTAAATTGACAGTTTTCTTTGTGATTTCGCCTAGGAATTTTAATGCCATGATCGAAGCATTTAGCACAATTATGTGTTCGTCGACCTGAAGATGAATTATCTCTATCTGAATCACTCATCTTCTCTTTCTTCTATCAAGTGAAATTATTGTTGACCTTCTTCTAATTAAGATCTTGCTGTAAGTAGCTCCAAGCAAATGTGTGGTAGATCTAGACGTATTGCAAATCTTATATATTTCCGATTCCTCATAATTACTCATGAAGTTTTTTTACCTTTAGTATTTAATTACTAACACTAAGACAGCCAGATTATCAAACCATTGTTGAACGAGGTGAAGAAGGCAAATATTTGATATAAATAGTCCTTTAAGAATTTGATATTTACCAAAAAACTTTCTGATAAAACTTATTTGAAACCATGCAGTTATGTTTCACTTCGAATTCATTGCTTTTCATGATATATTTTACCATGTAACGCTTCATTGGCATTATGCCAACTCCTTCATCTCTCTCAAAATTCAAGTAATAAATTGACTGGTGCTCTTGTAAGTTGTAACGTAATTGCTTTTTAATGTTGTGCGTAAAATTGAATGTCGATTTTGAATAAAAAAAACTTGCTTGAAAATTTATCAAAACACAAGAGAAATATTATATTTTACAGTATTTGTTCATTAAACAACACATTGTAAAAGAACTGCAAACTTACACGCTAGAAAATATAAAGTAGACTAATTTGAAAAAGTTGAATTCTGTTCATTGATGATTTTGATTATTATACATATAAAAGTTTCCAGTAATTAACGTAAATGCTTCTCAAGACACTTCGTTAAAACTGAAAAAAACATTTACTCTAAGACACACTATTTCCTTATCATTAAGAAAAGAGAAACGCGTCAGCTTACAATAGAACAAATGGTAAAATTCAGAAGTAGGAAATTACTAGAATCAACAACAATTATAAAATATTAACCGCATATTAACTGCAAATGCAGAACAATTATTGCTCAATTTAAACATTTAAACTATCATAAAGGTAAGCACAACTAAGTAAAATCAACCTACAGTTGACCGAGGAGTCTAATGACTCATTAATTCATTCCTGGTTTGCTGTTAAGCACTGTTGATAGCAGTTTATGCTCTTAACAGCAGTTTCAAATAAGGAACTATTTATAAAAAGCGATATTTGCAACAGTGGCCAGGAATTTTGCAGCGCATCAGAACAAAGAGCTTAATCTCATTCAAACATCAGCACAGTCTAAAACAAACACAATTTACATAACAATAAATGGAACTGGACTTGGCGTGCAGTTCTCGATTTATCTAATCAACTAAGATCAGATTTCTAAGTATCACATTTTCATTTGTTTTAGGCAGCTTGTAACTTATTGCCAAAGATTTTGTTAGATTCTTTTATAAAAGATAAAATCACAAATTGCAACTTGACTTTTGTGTCACGTGATTGTTTTACGCATCCCGCTTTTGTCACACACGCAGGCATATGCTAACAACTATACACCTAGCGACAAAACTTCCCAAAAATAACACCATCAGTTACATACGTTGATGCAGATAATATTGACATGACAATAATGTACAACTGTAGTTTTGCTCTCACTATCTTCTTAATAACCTTTTGATAGTATCTCAATCAACTTATTGCCGTTGATTTTGTGCCAACTGCGATTAAATGATGTTTAATCTTTGAACGCGGAGATCGTAAATAAGGAATATTTTATCGTATTCATTAGCCAGGCCAGACTTGCACCATGCATTTAAATTTTTTGTTATATTTGACGTTTTGTCAAATCTGCACCTATATTATACGTTATCATAAAAAAAATACAGGCCAAACATTTTCCTCACCCGATCACTGTTTTAACCGAGCACTTTAAAAATGGCAAAAACAAAAACTCAAAATGGAAAATTAGTTAAAAGAAAGGTTAAAAACCAATCCTATGAAACAATTTAAAGAATTAAATCAAGACTATCAACTTTGAAACTGTATATGAACTCAGGAAGCAGATGTTAGTAACAAATATAGTCAGTTTTGGAACTTTAATGATGGCGGCTTGCTTCACACGTTATCATAGAATTTTTCCGAGTCAGATATGTAATTAATTCTAGGTTATTGTCACCAATGATCTTATCCGGTTTGAATTGTGTAGGCCGAAACGGTTGTCAAAGTGCCCTTTGCGTACTTGTAAAAACGATTCTTGCTTTCCAAACCGGAAGAAATAATATGAAAACAGTGATTCAACAACAAGTTTCGCGTGTTTTTATTAAGCTAACATTGTTCTCGCTAGCCAACGTAAATAACTTTCGTATGATTTTTGAATGAAATATTTCTCATTCTGAAATAAAATCTTTTCTTTCGACCCAAGATTATGTCGTAGCTAATGCTTCTAACACATGTTTCACTTTACTCGACAATGGAATTTAGTGAGTCAGCTTATTTTTAAGACAAATATTCAGTTCTAAAAGATTTTGTCTGTTGTAGTGATGTGTGAAAAGGAACAGTTTGCTGGCTAAGATCGCTTTAAGGAAATTGAACATGAGAGTAATAAAACTTGTTTAGTTGAACGCAGTGTGATATTTATCCTTTCACCAAACAAACATCGCATATAGTGTAGGAATTATTTGGAAAATCAAACATTGAACAAGAAAGTATAGATTGTTGTACAACATACCTTTTAATCCGAATAAACGTTTGTTTGCTCTAAGTACTCCTATTCTTGCACTTGTGTTACGTCTTTCTTCATCAGTTGTCTTACAGAAATTACACGGGCACTTTTCACGTTAACATTTATGTCCTTTAACATCAATGATTTTTTCGTGATTTCGGCATTTCCTACATTTGGGAGGACTCTTTCTCTTGATTTTGAGGTCTTTCTTATGGTCTGATTTGCTCTGACTTTCGCATTTTTTGTAATAAAACCTTGACAAGCCTCTAGCGCGTCACGATGAAAACTGACAACAAACGAACAAATCGAAACTTCGCGTTATATGCAAAGTACTATGGCATGTAGGCGTAAGCATCTTTAGG